TTAGTATAATACTTGTGTGTGTATAAGTGAATCATTTACTGCTTGCAATCCAATGATGGTAAGATGATGTCATCGGGTAGGACTGGATAAGTCTGACTTCTTCCTACTCCATTCAAGCATGTAATAGGTATAAGCAAATTGATATTGGATTATGTGTATGTATGTTGTCATATCAACTGTTTTTACATGCTTGAAAGAATAAATCAAATGAAATCAAAAGGAGGATATGCCCCAGATACACAGCAGCCCTCCCCTGCACAGATCCCATAGGCTACATCCACAGTACATGCTGAAGCAACTCAATTCGTCACATTTTTTCCCTCCAAGTGACTCAGATTCATTCTCTTGATCAAGATCAAGAACAAAGATTTTTATTGTCAATTCACTATATGTGCAGGACCTACAGAAAAATGGAAATACTGTTTCTCTCTCACCTAATGTTGAATGCCCATACCATTTAAGCAAATAAAGTAGAATAAAAGTAGAACACAGAATAAACAGAATATGAAAACTGAATTCAAGTAATAAGGATAAACTAGATGGTACAACCTAACAGGCTATGATGAAACTCAAAGCCATGTGCAAACAGTGACAGTAGTGCAAGCACTAGGAAGAACATTGTCAGGTGGTCAGCATCACCAGGGGTGTTGGTGATGGGATGTATAATAGCTTATGACATGTACATGGACAGCAATGCAAATGACCAACAGCATTCATGGATGTGTGTACAGACCAAATTGGATCTGGGCCACTTCCACATGTCTCTGGTTACGTGACCACCATCAGAACGGTCAGATCGGAATTCATGGTTTTTTATGTCCCACTCCTCTATGCATGTGCATATCATTTGTTGTTGTCATTCGGCATCAGCCCCTCATAGACCGGTAAAAGTAAACATAGAGAAGAGCAACAACAGCAATGGGCATCAGTGGAGATGTGAGAGAATGTTTATATTTGTTTGCCATTACATTTTCAGAAGGAGACAGATGTGGACTGCAGGTAGGCCAGTCAAGTACACACACACAGTGTCTAAGAAGCCGTGCTGTTGTAGCAAAACGTTGCCTTGATGGCAGTGTATGTTTCTCTAATATACCAATATGCACCTCTGCGTCGATGGTACTGTCGCACATATGCAAGTCACCCATGCCATGGGAACTGATGCACCCCCACACCATCACAGATGCTGGCTTTTGCACCTTTCACTGATAATAGTCTGGATGGTCTTTTTCACCCGACCTCTGAGTTTCTTGAAAACAAGCTGAAGCATGGATTCATTTGACCACAGAGCACGTTTCCACTGCCTGTCGGTCCATCTGAGCTCAGGCCCAGAGAACTGGGCAGCCTTTCTACACAGAATTGATGTATGGCTTCCTCCTTGCGTAGCAGAGTTTCAGGTTGCATTTCTGGATGCAGCACTGGACTGTGTTAAGACACAACAGCTTTCAGAAGTTCTCCCGAGTCCACGTGGCTGCATTCATCATGCATTGCGTCCTGAGGGCTCGAAGGTCACACAGATTCAACAGTAGTTTTCACCCTCAGCCTTCATGCATTGAGATTCTCCAGATTCCCTCAATCTTTTCACAGGATTATTTACTATAGATGGTGAAAGATCTAAACTGTTCGCAACCTTGTGGTGAGAATTATTCTTTTTGAATTGACTGAAAGTAGTGAGCCATGACCCACTCTTGATTACAAAGACTGTGCCTTTGGTGGATGCTTCTTTTATACCCAGACATGATACCCTCATCTGTTCGCTTAACCAGCTAATTTTGGAATCTTCCAGAACAAAGTTACTGAAATGTTCTACAAACTTTTAAGCCATATAAAGTCTCTGTCCCAACTGTGCTTGAGCGTGTTGCAGGCATCAAGTTCAAAATTTGTTTATGTTTACAAAATGCAATTAAGTTGATCAGTGAAAACCTTTTCTCTGTACTTTTGTCAGTTAAATAAAGGTTCAAGCAAATTAACAAATCGCAGATTTGAGTTTTTATTGCATTTTGGACAATGCCTCAACTTTTATGAAATTGGGGTTTGTAAAGGCCTATAATATAAAATACAGAAAAGTGACAAAGAAAAAAACAATATAAAGTGTCTTAGTAAGGTGGATATTCCCTCATTTGGTGTTTTGATGATGGTGGTGGAGACACTGCCTAACATGTCGATCCAATATCTCCCATAGGTGTTTAACTGGGTTGAAATCTGGTGACTGTGAAGGCCACAACATATGATCACATCATTTTCATGAGGGGTCAAACCATTCAGTGACCCCTTGTGCCCTACGGAGAAGGGCATTGTCATCTTGGTAAAGACCACTCATTTGATCAGATTTTACAGAATCGGAATCAAAATCACAGATAGCTTTATTGGCCAAGTATGTTTAAGGAATTTGGCTCTCAATGTGCTTTTGTAAGGCAACAAAATTTTTTTAAAAACTATGTGCATTTAAAATAGGAAAGAATAAGAGAGAATAGTGAAAAAAGAGAAACAATCTATTAAAAATTGTATATACATTGTAGCAGAAGAGCTTTCAGATTTATCTATACAAGTTATATTTACAATTTATTGCAATTGGGTGGTTAATGTGTCCTGTCTTACATACAATACATGGATTAGCTGCTATAAAGAATGTTGGCACAGGGTAAGAAACTGTCCTTGTGTCTGGTTGTTTTGGTGTACAAGGTCCTGTAGTACCATCCAGTGCAGATGAGTTCGAACAGTTTGTGTCCAGGATATGAGGGGTCTGCAGAAATCTTCTTTTTTCTTTGTCACTTGTCTGCATGGGACAATTTGACAACAAACCAGCAAACACTTTTATTTCAGTTTATATTGTGCTGTGGTATGGCAAACAGACCCTAGCCCACTTTTCCTAGTTTCTCAGAAAGTGTCAAATGTGGATGAGGATACATTTCCATTTTTTAAAAATCCATCCATTATCTATACCACTTATTCCTGAAACTGTGCATGAAATCTGATATGTGTTGTTTTGTGCCACCCCAAGATTTTCAATAGCCCTATGTGCCCCCCTTAAACAGCTGTGTCTCAGGAGGTCCCCTAACCAGAGGGTTGGTGGTTTTGATAGCAGGCTTTTGCAGTCTGCATGTCAAAGTATCCTTGATCACGCCACTGAACCGCCAGTTGCTCCCTTTGATATAACCTTTGTGTGAATGGGAAATAGTGTAAAGCACTCTGAGTGTGCATCAATGTGTAGAAAAGTGCTATATAAAACCATTCATTATCTATAGTGCTTATCCTGAAGAGGGTCACGGAGGGGCTGGAGCCAATTCCAGCTGACATTGGGCAAGAGGCGGGGTACACTCTGGACAGGTCACCAGTCTATCAAAGGGCTGACATTTAGAGACTGACAACCACACACACACTCAGACTCACTCCTTGGGGCAATTTAGAGTCATCAATCAGCCTAAGGATCTCTGGATTGTGGGAGGAAGCTGGTGTATCTGGAGAGAATCCACGCAGGCACGGGGAGAACATGCAAACTCCACACAGAAAGGCGTCGGGTCGGCTGGGGCTCGAACCTGGAACCTAAACCCACCGTTCCACTCTGCTGCCCAAATTTTTTTATGGTGAAGACACTTTGCTGCTATTGTGAGAAACGTGTTCCACTGTCTGAATTTCCTGCTTAATTTTACATAAAAAACTACATTTGGTCCTATATGGAGAACTGACTGATGACTAATATTTGGTCAATGTAAGCTAATGTATTTTACACAGAGATCATCTAACTCTTGTGTGGAGCTGTCATAAAATACTAGCCCTGAGCTTTCAGACTATACCAAGCTTTTTTGCGGCGGTCAAAAAATCTGCATTTATTAGCTGGAGGACATTTACACCAAAGGACACAAGTACATACATGCGCGCGCGCGTGCACACACGTCCTCCAGAGGTGCAGCAGCCCGCACACCACCAAACTGTTTCTACGTATGTGCAGTCACAGTGCAGACAGAGGTTGTAAACATGGCGGCGGACGGGATGGTGCTCACTAACCACGACCATCAGACCCGAGTGGGCATTCTGACGGGTAAGGAGACTGTTTGATAAAACGCAATAAAGGGTTCCTTAAACGCATGTCTGTGTCGTTTGGCCGTAGGCTGCCTGTGCACGTCGGTGTCACGATACGGGCTATCTTCGCTGCAGAGCGAGCTAACGTTAGCTAGTAAGCTAACCGGTTCCGTTGACTGTCATTGCACTAACGTTAACGTTAGCTGCCCGCCCTTTGACAGGTCGGACAGATGTGGAATTTGCTTTGAAACAGCGTTATTTGTAATTCTGTGTTCAACTGTAAAACGTGTATATATATATATGAAGACTAGCTGTCACTTTCAGTGTTGTACTAGATATCTACACGACAGTACAGCTATTTTATTTAGCTTCAAATGGGAGAAGGTAAAAACGATGACCAGCAAAAGGTTTTCAGAATTAGGGGGCTATTCCTAGGCGAGCATGTGCTGCAATGAGTTTTTAACTAAAATTGGCGCTTTTATTTTGAAAGCAAACCGCCATTTTTCCGATGTTGTTGTTGTGCTGTATGTTGCAACCTTGACGCAGGGGAACGTAATATTTTCTAGCAATGTAGCGCTACCGAGCCTATATCAGCTGCATTATTCATGTCTCTTTGCAGATCATAGATATGTTGGCTGTTACTGGGACTGCTTTTAACCAACATTTATTGTATGGCTTTGTTGACAGCCATTTCATTTACGTTTAATGTTGGTGTATGTTCTGTTGCAGAAAAGTACATTTATCAATCATAAAACGTTCGTTTGGTTATCGTTATTAAAAGCTAGTTAGAAGACAAGGCGCAGCGCGAAGGCGAAATGAATTCTTGTGTGCAGATTGTTTGAGCAGCTTCTCTAATTAGCTCAGCAGATATTCACCTGAGTCGTGCAGAGGAGGACTGGGACTAGCAGCACACAGTCGTGTGACAGTGCTGCTGCCTTCTTGCCTAGGCAGGGGGAGACGTGAGAAAAATGCTAAGAGGATGCGAGCCAGCAGCAGACTGGGATGTGTGTCGTGGTTTGATGAGCTAGCATTTCGGCTAACAGCAGCCAGTCCTACTGCTGTCCATGCAACTGGCAACCACAACCGCCCGTCACATGTTGACACACGTCCCCAAACATTCACGTGATGTTTGTGGAAATGTGTGTGTTTTGTTTGACAAAGTTATAGGTAATACATTTTAACAGGACAGTTTTGTGTTAGGTTTAAGGTCAAATACAGGTTTAGAAAATTCGATTAACCTTAGCTTTAGGTTACATACATTCAGTTGTGGCTTTATCGGGTACACTGCTATAACTAATGTAGTCTTATACACTCCTGCAATATAATCCCCCCAGTGAAAGTGATGATGTTCAGATTTTGACCATACCATTTCAGAGAGGTGTTAGTTCAACAGTATGATCGTTTTGACAGATATAGTTTGTGCAGCTGTTGAATTGTCTTGTGTTGTACTGACAAGTGTTTCTGTTATTTTGTCCACCCCATTTACTGTGTATCCGTGAGGCTAGGCTAAATAACAGAAACAGCTCTAGACAGCATTTCCACCACCATCATCAAAACACCAAATGAGGGGATATCTTTTGTAAGAACAGTGCTCATCCCTCAGTAGAGTTCAGAGACTTGGAGAATCAGTGCCAAGGTGCAGTGAAGCTGTTCTGGTGGCATGTGGTGGCCCAATATCTTACTAAGAGACTTTGTGTTGTGTTTTCTCTTTTATTTGTCACCCATCTGTATTCATTCAGAGAGATTATATAGCCTATCTGTTGGTGATATTGTGATGAGGCAGGCATAGATTAAGACAAGTGCATAAAACCATTTCTAAAGCTTTGAGTGTTCCCAGAAACACAGTGGCCTCAATGAAATGGAAGATGTTTTGAACCAGGACTCTTCCTAGAATTGGGTGTCTGACCAAGCTGGCTAACCATGCATGAAGGGCCTTGGTCAGGGAAGTGACCAGGAACCCAGCAGTTACTCTGAATGAGCTTCAGAAGCCTCCGCAGAGATGGGAGTCTGCAGGATGGACAAGCATTTCAGCAGATATTTATTAGTCAGTCCTTTATAGTAGAGTGGCTAGATGGAAGCCACTTTGAGGAAAAGACATAAGACAACTACTTGGAGTTTGTCAAACAGTACTTAAAGGACTCCATGCATTAGGACTGGTGAATGCCAGGCGCTGCTCATAACCTGGCTGGTACCACCCCTATGGTGAGGCATGGTGGTGGCAGCATTATGCTATGGGGCAGCAGGGGCAGGGACAGGGAGGCTGGTCAGAACTGAGGGACGGAAAGCTTGTACAGGCTTGCAAAGCATGTAGAGACTTCCCCAAGAGGACTCAAAGCTGGATCTGCCAAACTGGCTTCTACACAGTACTGGATTAAGGCTTAATAAAATACTAATAGAAAACTTTTTTAAACCAGATATTTCATTTTTTGAGTTTTAATGAAAATGTAAATACATTTCTTTTTTTTTTAATTTGTTATTACAGGTTATTGATTGTAGAGAACTGTGTAAAAGTACAACACAAATGTGCAAAAGTGAAGGAATCTGAATACTTTCTGAAGCCACTGTGTATAATCTTAGTTTTTGGAGAGGAAGAAGGCAAGTTCAACTGGCTTCAAAAAGTAGCACATTGTGCAAAGTCACATAGATAAGATCTCACCCTATCAATTGAGTCAGTGTATTGATAAAAGTATATATCTGACCTTTGGTTGAAGCCAAAAGGCCTCATAGTTGAATCTCAGGCTTTGGACAGAAATCTGTCACAGCTGCATATCGTTGCAGTTTTCTTGTGTTTTCAGTTTGTTCAGTTTGTTGCTAAGATAGGGATGTGGCACACAGTTTCGGTGTATTCCTCTCTTCACACACTCTTCCGGGTGATCAACTATTTTTAACACTGTGTTAATACAGGTTTGTAATGCATGTTTGAATCTCTGAGTTTTCGGGCTGGGTTGCATTTAAAGTTCTTGCCAAGATCAGTACCACTCCCACATCTGTGTACTAAATACAAGGCATACCTACCTACAGCTCACTAATTGACACATTATATCGTCTTTGTTAAGTCTTTACTTCCAGACCTATAGATAGAGCCATGCCAGCTGTTTCACCCTGTTTATAATCTCTATCAGTCAACAATCTCAGGTTTTTATTTAAGCAATTCAGAATGTTTTTTTGGTTATATAATGACGCGGCCCGGGTTCGATTCAGTGTTGCGTCAGGAAGGGCATCCGGCGTAAAACACGTGCCAAATTTCAACATGCGAATCCTCAGTGTAATGATTTGCTGTGGCGATCCCTAACGGGAACAGCAGAAAGTGACAGATGACAGCACTCCAATAAGTTAACTATTTATTCTTAACACTCCACGGACGTTTCGGGACATCCTCTTGTTCAGCGTGCAAGACAGCAACAATGCTGTACCCAAGTACAAGTGAACTAAAAAACACAGTCAAGCACAACAATGTATCCAGTGCGGGGACCCGAAAATCACATGATCACCAACAAAAATACTAGGCATGCACACATATCACAACAAATAATGTTATAAGAAACAAGACAAATTGAATTCATCACTCAAACCAGAAGGCATTAAAGTGCCAAATGATGAATCCATAAACAGTCCCTTTGTATTAATTTTTCCTCGGTTGCCTCCTTGTTGGGAAACTTGAATAACCTCTGTCCATAAAATGCAAATCACTAACTGTATGTTTAAAGGCACTAAAATGCCTGGCAACAGAAGACTTTTTTTTGGGTGGCTGTGGCTCACGAGGTAGGGCAGTCGTCTCCTGACCAGCAAGTTGGTGGTTCGACTCCCGGTCATCCTGCATACCTAAGTGTCCCTGAGCAAGACACTGAACCCCGAACTACTCCCAGTGGCTTGACTAGCGCCGGTGCGTGGCAGCCTGCCGTCATCGGTGTGTGAATGGGTGAATGGTGTATGATCTCCTGTAAAGCGCTTTGGCCAGTGCAACACACTGTGAGAAAGCGCTATATAAAATACAGTCCATTTACCATTTATGTACCGGTGCTTGAGAAATGGGGCTGTATGTCGACACAAAAGTCATTTGTGACTTCTGTTTCTTGTCTGATTTGACAGTCAAAAGTCCATTAGTTCGTTACTGAATATTAATTTCACTTTATCCAGAGTTCTACCCAACAAGGATTTGCTATAACCTTGTGCATCAAAGCATCCACACAGTTCTTGGGTTGAGGGTGTTTTTTCCATTATCATTATGGTGATATAAATCATGGATGAATAGAGATCAGCTGAGACAGGAACACTAATGTAACTCTGTATAACAATGTGCCTTTTAAACACCATTGTGTAAGTGCCATTACCTTTTTGAATATGGTACAAAAGTGGGGGGGGGGGGGTTTCAGCCTGGAAAAGCCTATGAAATGGTAATTAGAAAAAGATGCAAAACCTTCGATTAAAAGTCTGGGTAATATTTAGGTGTAGATATGTGAAATTACACTGAGGTGTCTCTAATAATAACTGAGGCTTTACTCTTTTTGTAGACATCCAATATATCAGCAATCATTTTTATTTTTAATATGTAATGAGTGAAAATTATTCATGCTGTCAGAGATGTTCTGTTCTGTAACCTGAATTGCTCTCTTTCAGTCAGTGACAGCTGTTACAAGAACTTGGCCGAGGACAGGAGTGGAGTCAACCTGAAGGACTTGGTCCATGATCCCTCACTGTGAGTCTACACATATGGGGTGAATCCCAAGTCTCTTAATTGCATCCAATGTTCCCCTCACTTGCATCTTTTCCTTGTATCTTAATCCTGCCCATGAGCAAAAATTGGTGAGGGGAGAGGAATCGAGAAAACGTTTATCGTGACATGAGTCATCCTTTTGTTCTTCATCTGAAGTGTCCAATCATCAACTGATTTTCTGTAAAGGGTGTTGGTTCATAAAAGGCTTCCATGAAGGATGCTCTTGTGTATCCTCGCCCATGGCTCCTCCAGCAGCCTCCTTGCCCCTCGCTCAGCACAGAACAACTTCTGGGTCAAGTGAGGATCAAGGACAAAGGAACAGTAAAATAAGGGAATTGGGATTTACGAAAAGTCTGTGGTCTACACACACATGCTGACATACTATGTACACACACTGGCATTACACTGACTGACACTCGTCTTCTGCAGGCTTGGAGGATCCATAGCAGCCTACAAGATTGTTCCCGATGAAATTGATGAAATCAAGGTAAGTGTCCTTCCATTGAGCTCACTGTCAACCAGATCTCTTGTGAGCAATAAGACACATAATAATATGCTATAGAAATAGACTGGACTTCACACACATCCCCACAGCACTCAAAATGTTTTAATTTGTCATTGAAGAAAACACACTTGATAACTGAGATACAAGCTCTGTTGTCACACCACTGAATTAAAAAACAGTGGCAAATACTTTCCTGCTTACCTCATGGGTTTTTGTCTGTCTGGCTCGCAAGTCTTATTAGCAGCATCATCTAACACATAGCCAGTCATGTATCCTGTAATCAGTGCTCCTCTAGCCACTGAATGCAGTGAGAGAAGGTTCCTGTGTTGATCCTCTCTTGGGGTATAGAGCAGCACCTCGGAGCTGGTGGGGGCTATCTTGCTTAAGGACACTAGAGCAGGGCAAAACAGGCATTTCCTTGAAGGAACGTGTTTTTATCCATCACAGCCACCTGTTGGGCCCTTAGTATTCCATGTGAAGAGAATGCATGTTAATGTTGTGTGTGTTCTTTCATGTGTACAGGAAACTCTTTTGGAGTGGTGCGATGAACAGGAGCTGAATCTCATTCTCACCACTGGAGGAACTGGCTTTGCACCACGAGATGTCACACCTGAGGTACAGACACCTACTGGCACTGACTGCAAAAGTAAAAATAGAAGAAATTAAATAAATAGTATGTTACAAAAGGAGTAACTCTGTGATTAAAAATAAATTTAGAACTAGTTAAGGATTTGCTTGACGAATAAATTTGAAATCAGAACAGAAATGATTTGAGACAAATGTGTCATAAATGTCTAAATGGAGTCCTTGTGTTTGTCCTTTAGGCCACTAGAGAGGTGATAGAGCGAGAGGCTCCGGGTATGGCACTGGCCATGCTGATGGGATCACTCAATGTTACACCACTGGGCATGCTGTCCAGGTGAAGGCTTCACCTTCTTACTGCATGCTGTCTCCACCAGCAGCTGCATTACTAATTGGGTATATTCTAACTAGATCAGTGTGCGTGGTGTCCTCTTCTGCTCTAATCTGCTTTCTGCTTCATTGTTCCCAGGCCAGTGTGTGGTATTCGTGGTAAAACTCTGATCATCAACCTGCCAGGGAGCAAGAAGGGCTCTCAGGTACTTTACCCAGCTGTGCTTACTGTGTGTAGGCTTAGGGTTACCCTGTTAAAGTGATATACATCACTGTTAAGAGATTCTGTAGCTCTGTATAGATTCTACGTAGATCCTGTTTAACTTAACTTGAAAAACATGTTAGTTGCTATTACAGCTACTATCAGTTACTGTATATACTTGTCAGGTTTGGCGAGTGAAGCTGCCAAATAGTGTCTGTAGTGAACTCAATTATAATGCCAGACGAACAAGGTAAAGGATAGTCTCTTTACTTGCAACAACAAAACAAATAGTACAAAAGTCCAGAATCACAATCGGGTCGATAATACAGTCCAAGGTCAGTGCCGGCAAACACATACAGCCGAGGGATCCACAATAGAGAGGTCAGAAAGGGAATATCCAAGGGTTGGTAAACAACAGGCAATCAGAATCTGGGGGGATAAGGCAAGGTACAATGGTCAAACAAGCCATCCGGGGTCAGAACAAGAGTATCAGATACAAGAAAATGCTGGAAAGTCAGAACTGGAGTTTAGAACAATCTGGTAGCTTCCTGGTGGGAGGAAGCTGCTTATAAGGGAGTGAAAACAATGAGTACTGATTAAAGTAAAAGGTCCGTAGCTGAGATAAGGCTGTAACAGGAAGTTGTGTCAAAATAAAAGTATGAGACCGGAAGCCAGTGGGACGGAATCATGATGTATACTGACTTGTTAAGGAGCTGAAATTTAAAGTTTAAGACTTAAACATTTCATAGGCATTGATCTTGTTGCTAAATTCCAAAGCTTTGAGGCTTAAATGGGACTTGCTTTATCCTGCCTCCTAATTCTGAATATATTTTTGCTCTTTTATCTATAATACCCCAATTTTAGGGGTCCAACAGTATTGAGATGTATTAATGCTGTAGTCACTGAGTGTTCCATCTCTGCTACATTGAAGGTATTTTCCTACCAAAATACATATAAATGCATGCAGAAACATTTAGAGTTTAAAAAGTTCAAATTATAAAAATGATAATGTTCTTAAAGCTGAATTATTATTATTGTTGTTGTTTTGATATTTTAATTATTTAGGACATTTTTCAGTAAAAAAAAACTAAATGGCTAATTAGCAACCAGTCCGTTTACACATCCAGCAGTCACAGCAGTCACGAGGCAGTGGCAGCTTTGAAACAGCACTAGAATTATCATTAGCTCAAATACAATCATCCGACTCTGCAGTTCCTCCTAGGGCCACAGAGTGATTCTACTCTTAACTTTTTAAAGTTCACTGTAACTTCTCTCACCCATCTTGTTTACCACAAAACACAGCTCTAAAAACAAACCGTACCATTGTCCAGCACCAAACAGCAGACAAACACAGTTAGCAACTAGCCAGGTAAAATAATGGAGCATTTAGCAGCTAGAGTCAGATATTTTCCCAAGGTGCTGGTTGAGACCAAAACAGTACAGCTACTATCACAGAGTAGGAAGTGAATACATCTTATCCACTCCAGCCAAATGAAAATATTCCTTTCATGTCACCATAAAAAGCACAGAACAGATAAACTACTGACTTGCTGCAATGATGAAACTGCTTGATGAAATTATCCATGTCACATAACTGTTTTAGAATTTTGAAATTATGCTGATTAGTATATGAGGGTTTAAAAAGGTCAGATATTTGTTTCCAACTGGTATCATTTGTAATTGATTAGTTCACACAAATTAACTGTTGAATATATGTCTTTAGTGAGTTTTAAAACCGATTTTAGATAAAATTCTGTTGTTTGCACCAGGAGTGTTTTCAGTTCATCCTGCCTGCTCTGCCCCATGCCATTGACCTGCTGCGTGAGGCCACAGTCAGGGTTAAATCCACACATGCAGCCCTGGAACAGCTGCCCTCTCCTTCCCCCCTGCTGGCCAACACGCACACCAACACGCACACCAATACACACACCATGGAGCGTGGTACCCAGTGCGAGGAAGAAGATGATGAGGAGGAGGACCGCAGGAGAGGTCGACATGCACACAACCACCACCACCACCACCATCACCAGCATGGCTCCTCCCACATCACCGCAGCTGCTATTGCTGCCAAGGTAACCAGTTGGCAGGACAAGAGCAAGACCAGTGCTTCTACTGGAGACGTGATAAATAAAACTTTAAAGACCCTGTGGGGCTATGGGTCATTGCAGCAGCAGGCTACTCTACTATACACAACTGCTATCAAAATGCTAGAGGCTGCCGCCCCGCACCGTACAAGACATATTGGCAGTGATAATTAATTTTAAGAAGTATGCCATTCCTTTGACGATCAAATAAAAAATGTTACCAGTCTCAGGTAAGCTGAGGAAAGGTGCTGCTGGTGGATGACAGACCGTTTTTGATAGCATTCTTGAGATTTAGAGGAAAGTCAGTCTAGTTAAATCATGGCCCCTTTCACGTGACACTTACACCTGGTAATATGCATTCTGTATCCGGTTGTGAACAAAAGAATGCACTGTAAAGATCACCAATGGAATGTGATAGAATGAGTTAGACGACATCTTCATATGGCCTGGCTTTTACTGTTATTGTATTTTAGCCAGATGTAAATACACAAAGTGTGAGTACAGTTTTAAGAACAAGCTGGATGGTCACCTACTCCACATCTTCCTGCTATCTCTTAACCCAGCTCTTGTCAAATGAAAAATACAGTCCTATGATGCAGCATTGCTTTGGAAGCACCAGGGGACTGCTATGATATGTTAGTCTGTGGTCACGTGACCAACAGGGTAAGCCAACATAGAACTTTTTTTTTTTCCTCTGGCTCTAATTATTTACATTATACCTGGGCATTCCAACGAAAGAGCGCAGTGTTAAAAAATGCAAGGGACTGGTACTGATGGGACTGTTGCTTTTGGAACCAATGTGATGCTAAGCAGAAATCCAGTTTGAGTAAGAAATCCATGAGTCACATCACCATACTATTCTCAGGTGCCGAGTGGCTTATAATACTGAGAGTTTTACAGTAATAAAACAATATCATGGTGACAGCTATTTGATCTTATGCCAGGATGCCATTCATATTTTAAAGTCATCTACCAGGTTCTTTACTGCCAACACTGCAGCTTGCCAGATGTCGTCACATTGCATCTTTTGCTGATAGATTTAGAAAGACTACTAGTAGCCTACTGATGCCTTTGTCTGTCATGTGACCCTTGCCCTTCAGGAGGATGCCACATCGCTTCCCTTGTGTTTGGTCACAGATCTGCTGCTCTGCCCACGTAATTTACATATTGAGATGCAGTGTGAGCAGAATTTAGATGATGAAAGTGCTTAATAATAGCAGGTATAAATGTAAAGGTCAGTGGTGAAATGTCATTATCGAGAAACATATTTACAGTAGGTACAGCTCACAAGTTAACATCTGGTGGAGTCCTACTCTTACACGGAAATTAAAACCCTAGTTTGAATGTAGATAATATCGACCATGTAGATCATCAGTTGTTTGAGTCCTAATAATTACAAGTGTCTGATGGAGCAGATGGTATTTCATAAAAATGTGAACTTTTTGTAACTTCATAACCATGTCATCTCATTCACCTGGCTGTCTGTGCTGACATGCATCTCCCTGTGTGTGTGTGCCCGCATGCATCTGTGTGTCCCTCAGACAAGTCATGCTGTGGTCATGGCTAAGGGGGGTCCCTATCTGCCTGGAAACACACCTGACCCCCCCTCTCATTTCACCTGCTCCTGCACTCATGACCAGCAGGTGAGACACACACACATACACCCATCCTCCTCCTGCCATTAGTCCGCTGATCATGTCTGTCAGTCACACCCTGCTGGCCCCTTTTCTTCATACTTGGATAACAGAGTTAACTTAATTTGATTAGTGATGATGTGACACAAGCCTGGGTTTTTCCTTCTCTGTAGCTGGCTCCAAATGTGTCTGCAGCTGTGGTCGCTGTATGAAACTTTTTCAAGCTGAACCACATGCATGAAGACATTTTCAGAGAGAAGCACCCTCTCCTTTGCTCAAGTCCCCAGCACATGTTGTAAATGTTGATATAAGCATGATTTCAGATGGGAGCACCTAGGCTACTGAGAAAACTGAAATTATTTAATGTTGTAACAGAGTTTATACTAAGAGTTAAACACCTTTACAAGCAAAAATATACAGTGTAATTAGTACAATTAAAGCTGCAATTAAGTATTTTTGTGCGTTTTTACAGTTTTATAAGTTGGTTGCGGAGAGTTGGACAGAAAATGGAGGGAGAGAGAGTGATGGGGGAAGACCTGTGACAAACTGGATGTCGCACACAGTGTACATATACTGTATACATGGTACCTGCCAAAACCACTTGGATACTGGGGCAGCAAAGCTGGAATATTATTTTTTATAATAACAGTGAACCTACAGAGAATTCACTGCCAGCTTTGTTGTTTCATGCAGAACTTTCTCATCTTTAAGTTCATTGTTTTTTGTTTTTTTTTTGTTTTGTTTTGGGTTTTTTTGTCTTGGTTTATCTACCTCATTTCCATCAACAGCCAGCAACTTTTTACAGCATAAAAGCTCTGATAAATTCAGTGTACCCTACCTGCCCAGCACCACACAGCAGTTAGTGAGCAACTAGTGAGCATAGTATGACATTAGCTATAAGCTGAAGAGCTAGATATTTCTCGGGAGTTGATAGAGACCAAAACAGAGCTATAAGGATTATGAATATTGGTCTTAAAATTTCCAGGTCACTAGAAACATGACTCCAAATAGATTTGATCTCAGCTGGATATATAAACAGACACACAGTGTCCCACAGTAGTGCAAAAAGTCAAATGATGCAGCTTTAAGTGCTCAAAATATATAACACGTACTCGCACCATGAGTAAATGTAAAGACTTTAAGGAGTTTATGGAAAGATACATCAGGGTCCTCAGAGCTAAGATGTAGCTGCAGTGTGAAAGTAAAGTGCTGTCTCTAACCAGGGCCATTCCAGACAACTGTGAGCACAATCATATGATCAGGTGGCAAGTAATTAGGAGTTCTGATCAAGGTTTTGACCCTTGATAACAAAAAATAAACTTGTTTATATCAGATGTAATTTAATATTTCCTTCATAGAGGTGGTTTGCATGTTTTTGCAAATGAATTTCAGTCCAGGTTAATAGTAATGCTAACAATTTTTCAAAGCATGCCATATATTTTTGGACTGATTTCAGTTCATCCCAGTGTGATTTGAAAAATCAGTTTGCAGAGACTTGAAGCTTGCTGCAGATAGGTAATCCATCACAGTGAACACTTAAGCCCTGTTCATTTGGAATTAGTATTTTCTCCTGGAGTCTCCATGTGATTGTAATAATGGTAGATTCTATTTATTCCTAATCCCACGCAGATCTTTAGTGTATGTATGCAGTGTGTAATTCCAGTTATTTTCTTTCTCATCTGAACACTGGAGGCTACAGTAAAACAGTATTTTGGGCACCAAATTAAAAGAATGAGCATGATCAAATCATATCTGGGGATAATCATTCAGTCAGGGATTTGCTCTGGAAATCTGAGTGAAACACAGGCTTTGTTTGCCCCGTGTGAACGTGCCACACACTGATGTGGTGGGGAATTTTTAGGTCACATGAAGTTTGTAGTCGCTGATCTTATGCTAAGAAAAGCCAAATAGTTTTTATTCCAGCGTTTTGAATTTATTAGGGCAAGCAGTGCACAGTTGGTATTTGTCACCACTGATTATTCAAAATATACTGTTTGGATATAAATTTCAGCTCAAACACTGCATCTACCTATATCACTGCCATCACTTCTACGCAGGATGCTAAAGTGTTAGCTGAGGCATCAGGACAA